CTGAGTTCACTACAAGCAACAACACAGAAAAAAAAATCGTGATTAGAAGATTCCTACTAAACTTACTTTTCGCATTTAATGTTAGGTCAAAAACAAAATATTATTTGTGTTGATAAAATTATAGTTTCTCTGAAATAGCACTATCCTTTAAGCTATCTAATTGACTAAACAATGATTGCAAAATTAACTGTCTGTTTTTGTTACGATTTTAAACTTTTACATCGAAATTGTTTCAGCGGTCACTTAGACCACTGAAACAATTTTGATGGATTTCATTTTACAGATAAATTAGATCAAGAAGAAGACAAAGCTTCCAGATTCTTATTGTTGTATCAGACAACGTAGCATAGACGTATACGAACGAATAACCTGTTTATTAGCCTATCATGAAAAATATAAAACACAATTTATGTTTTCGATAGGCCCAATAAAGGCCTTCTATAACACCAAAATAAACGCGGTTAAAGCCGTAACCTGAAGCTAGCTATATAATTATAGACGAAGTTAATTGATGTAATGAACGCAGACATGTCAATGATCATCAGAGGGTACTTGATCGAGAGTGCTCAAGAGCCATTGCAATCGCCTCGATTAGGGCTTAAGTAGCCGTTGTTCAATTTAATGGTGACGTAATTACCATAACTGCTATTGATAACATCGTATACATATCCGATAACATAGTGTAGATACTATCATTTACATATTTTGTAGGCGAAGCGTAGGACTCCACCCTCAAGGTGAACAGACGATCTCATAAAAGTAGCAGGAAGGCGCTGCCTACACGCCGCAGCAATGGACGTCCTGTGGCTGAAATGATGATCATGTCAAATCAAATCAAATCATTTATTGCATTAGGTACATGTGTGGTTTGACAGTTGGTAAATTGATGACGTATTTTGAGTCTTTCACTTTACCTTAAAGCGTATGCATGTGCCAGTTGCCGTTTTATAAGCCAGATTAAAAAAAAAAACTCGATTCTATCTCAGTCATAGATTCTGTACTCTGATTGGTCTAAATATTGACATTCAACCAAACAAAAGTCTCACTGTTGATATTAATATGTATTGCAAAACATAGCTTTTCAAACAATCACACGCATGAAATTACAGCAACCGAAACAGTCACTGAACTGAACTGAGTATTTTTTTAGTTACTTGAAGAAGTATGCGACGTTAGCCGCAGGGCTGTCAAAGCTTTTGAAAGTGCACATTCCGGCGCGTTTGCAATCCTTAAAAGTATTGTGTTAATTTCACCCCTGGATTGGCGCGCCTGGTATGCTTTTGACTCTGCAACCCTTATGGGAATAACCTTGGGGTTATTTTGGCAATTTGCTGAATAGAAACGCAGTGTAGTTCGAGTTTTCTTTTGAACGTTTACATTTTGTTTTTGGGAATGTAACACACCGATTGAAAAGTTTTACTTGGGGGCTGTAATTTGGTTGTTACGATCAGTGACGCGTTATATTGATGATTTTGTAGTTAATACAATTTTTGATTTCAAAATTATTTTGCGTAGTACAGATAATTCTTTGTTTGTCAACGTAACTAATGTTATTCGACCAGGTTTATGTTCCACCGATACCTACCCAAAACTACGTATTCTTTTCACTTACAAACTTTAACTAAATGTTATATTGTTTTGTACAAAAAACATTCATTGCACATACAAAAACTGTTTGAACACTGAAAAAAAAGGCCAAAACCAACAATTTAATTTATCAGTCACAAATGACACATCTCTTGCAAGTCTGACAGCCACATCAAACAGTATGTGCCAGCCCCATCTTTGCCCCAGGGTCTAGAAATCAACTATGGGATACTGCCAGGTGCATGACGTTACGCCTTGGGCAAGACGGAAGTAAATCGACAGACATACCGACTGTGCCTTCAGGCAATTGAGGGAATGACCGATTGACAATATGGTTAATGCCTGTAAAAAATAGGAACATGATGGTGGTCAAAAGAACATTTTTTTTTGTAATTTAGTATTTTTTTAAAGTTAAAACGTAATTAGTGAGCTTTAATTCTAACTATGCTTAGGTATAAACCAATAAACTCTAGGAAATGTCATTTTGTATAAAATTATTAGAAAGAAGAACATGAGTCAAGCTGTACTTTTAGAAAATTAGTTAACTTTATTAGGTTTACAATTAATCAGAATTAGGAGTCTCATTTAAGTATTTTCGATATGTCAATATTAGAACGAGGTAAATCAAACCTTTAGAAGTTATAAACACTGTACAAGTTTTGATATTTTTGCATTGGAAGAATAAACCGTATAGAGTTTTCGCCAAAAAAAAATCCTTACAAGTAGGTACTTTGTAAGTTAAAGATTCTAAACTAAACCCATTGTGAACATAGTTGCCCATATCGTTACACAAAGTGACCATGATGTAAATGAATTCCTAGAACAGTTAAATGGCGCCATACATTTGGCCCGCAATAAAGCTAAAAGCTCATACAAGACACCCTGTATTTGCATGGGCGCGCAGTTAGCACCGTTCTAAGAAACTCGTATATTGTTGGTAATGTATGACGGTGTACACGTAGGTCGGATATATTTCTTCAGCAAGTTCTAATAAAAGTGGCTAAATAAATAGTAACAATCTAGCTTAATGCAAATGCAAATGTTTATTACTGCACTAAAACTACTGGACGGATGACATACGAGTACCTATTGCAGCCGCATTCACGAATCTCAACTCAGTATTTTTCTATAAGTAGGTTTCAATAAAGTGCTCTGTAGCTCTCGAGTCACACATACCTAATACTATTCTACTTTTTCCTTATTACTGGATAGAATTAGATTTAGAGCCTAGAATAGAATTAGACGTAGAGTTGACCTATTCAGAACAAAAATTGTGTTAGTGGCGGACAAACTTCTGTTACGCTCTCGCTCGCTCGTATTCGACTAATAGTTTTTATACACTTAAGACTGATTTTTCAATCGTTAGATATATTTTAACTGAAGAATACACTTGTTATTTTAACATATTTATCATACTGCAACTGCCAATATGAGAAATGTCAAAATGCCAAGTTTATTCTTCAGTTAAAATACATCTGACTATTGAAAAATCAACCCTTAGCCATCAAAATCCAGAACTTCTAATACCTGAAGTATTAGAAGAAAGTTGTATTTTAGCAACCTTATACAGACTAGACTAGTCATCGTAAGTGACCACAATATTGTTTAAATTAATTAATGTCTTTGTTCAGGTCAGTGAGTCACAATTCACAAAGTCAAAGGCTTATTCGCTGTGTGTTCAATAATAACAGTTGTTAGGTATATCTAACAATTGGTTTAAAAAACTAAGTTTATACGTTCTTCTTTATGTTTTTCTAATAATGACTATTAAATTGGCTAATATGCGGTTATTTCGATAAATATGGGTGTTACATTTAACCATCCTATTCAGTAACTAACGAATACACGACATTATTTTTTAAGTAATTTAATGATTCTTTTTTAGTCATTCTTTGTGTTTTCGAAAATAGGTATTCTACCTCGTTCGTTTTTCAATTTACTTTAGAAGGCTGAATTTATTTTAATCCACAGGTGTCTAATCTCTATCTAGCTAAAAATATTTGTTTGTAATAGGTAATATTAGACTAATATTCTCGTAAACATTTACAAGTTTGACAAACTTGACCTTCACTGGTTGGGTTTTTATTGGCGGTCAAGCTGTAGATCCTGGCTACACAGGAGTTGCAGCGGTGGGAACGAGAGATGGGAAGAGTCCCGTAATTGTCTAAGTTTAAACAAAAAATATGAATAATAAATATTAATTACAAAATGTTTTGTATAGCTGAACAAAATGTCATCAAAAAGTTATGATTTAGGTATTTGTAAATATTGTTTTATATTTTTTTCTTATAAGTAAATTTCATGCTCTCTTAATTGATTTATGGACGCTACGAGCGATATTTAATTGTTTTCATTTTCATAAAAACAAAACTCGGCAAAACCCCAGATAAAATCATGTTATTTTATCTGGTAAGAGTAAGTAGTTTAATGTTATTGTTTTCCTAAGTTATACTTAATATTGATAAATAAGTCAATTCTTCGTATTCAATTTATGCGAATCATTATTATAATAATTAGTTTCGTTGATAAAAAGAAACGATTCGCCAGAACTATCAGGTCAACGGAACAGATGGGTCATCTGGTCTTCGCCGCGATTGCACAGGATGATGTCATTGTGAAGATATTTTATTTGATTAATAACAGAGGCAATTAGGTGATCTAGTTTATAGCGAATGAGTAATTAATTATATTGGTATGAACATGAATAAATGCGATTCAGTCTTTTAAATTAATTTTAAAATCGATTTTCTATGTAGGCCATTGGTGATGACATAAATAATTACTATTAATAATTCTAAGGTACTAGATTTTAGCCCGAAAACCTAAAATTTGTAGATAGGATTAGGTACCTAATATTAAATTTTGGTTTGAAAAAGCTTTGTAATCATTAGATAGGTAAATTGTTTATCAATTTATGGTAACGTAGGTGAAATCTATAATATCGTATTTTATCGGCTAATAAGTACCTATTGATTGCCAATTTGTGGTTTCAATGACCCAAAAAAACAATTTTGGTATAAAACTAAAAATAATTCAAATCGAACTCAGTCACTAGACTATTAATAGATTAATTTAATTAAAATTTGAAATCACCACTCCTTTGTATGGAATGTAGGGCTTTTTTTTATAAATATCATTTGCACACCTGAGTGTACAATGATTAAGTAATTTCAGTTCAATATACTGGTCAGTAGGTAACCCTTGCATCTGAACACTTGTTTACACTATTAATAATCGAATTTCCATTTTAATTAGTCATATAAGTGCCACTGACACAATTTTGAAACAAAACTTAGCATTTTTAACAAAGAAAAATTTGTTTTGCGTAACACTTTGTCTCAAATCTGAGTCACTGAAAACTTTCACTTAAAAGCCGGTGTAATTGCAACCGTAACCAGTTTGCGTAACAGACGTCAACCGTTTATGAACGACGTTTTTGAACACGCTGTATAGTGTTTATCGTACTGGTTGCCGCTTGGTTTTTTATTGTAAATACCCGTGTTTTGGTTGTGATAAAGCAGCTATTTAATATCGTAGCTCGATTGATACTACACTGTGCGAAAAATATCGAGAGGAATATGGCGTTAAAGTATTTAGCTCTGCTAGTGTTGTGTGTAGTTAAAGTGAATTGTATGGCGTTGAAGGGACCGCCTTTGACTAGGTACGACCCTTGTGGATTGGGGGTCATACATTTTGATAGACTGATGACAAATTACTGGCAAAGTGTGCTGCATTTAGGACTGTACAAGAATTTGCTTGAAGTTGAAATTGAGATTTATTTTGAGAAGAAAGTGACGATCTTTGGGGTGAGTTGTTTTTGAGATTATTACTCTTAAGTGACGTTAAATTGGTTGGTTTTAAAACTGTCCGGAAAGGTAAGACGTAATGTTTTGAAAAGTGATTGTAACGTAAATTAAACATTTATGAGCTACCTATCTAAACACGATTTCGCTATAAATTCGTGAATAAATAGGAATCTGTGTCTTCTTCGTTCGTATAGTAAATGTTTTTCGTTCATTAACGAGACGATAGTAACTAAAATAAAATATTACAGTTCCTCTTTCACAGTGTTTAATTCAATTTTTCATAATGATAAGTTTTTTTTGTCTCTGAATGAAAACGTAGAGTACTTTAATGTATATTGTTACAACGAATGTTATCAAACAACAAAGAAAAATTGCATTATTTATAATACTCATCCATCAATTACTTATTGGAATGGTTAGCTTTGAAACAAGAGCACCCTTGGTATCCATCTACATTTGATAGATAATAAGATGAGATATTGGAGAAGATATCCCATTTAATAATAATGGAGATAGGTAGTAACTTATTTCTAGACACATGTAGTTTATCTAAATTAGATGAATGAAGATCGATGCCTATGAAACTTTAGATGTGGCCATACGTTATATGTATATTTACTTACTTACCCATCATTACATCAATATTTTTAGATCTTAAATTATGTATTCTCTTTTACCACTTTTGTAGTCTAGTACGGGACTATCCCCACCTCTCGTTCCCACCGCTGCAACTCCTGTGTAGCCAGGATCTACAGATTGACCGCCAATAAAAACCCAACCAGTGAAGGTCAAGTTTGTCCCGGGGGAAAGTTAAACTGTCATTGGAAACCCTTTTTTTGCATCCTTATTTGCAGAAAAAAAGGGGTTTTTGTTATCACAGAGCTTGTATACGCGTCTAGGATGTCCAAGTCTTAGATTAGTAGATTAGATTAGTCTTAGTTCCTTATGCAAAGAATCAATAGAACAATCAATATATTTACTTTATCATTTCAGGTATCTCACAACTCAAGCGTCCTATCATTAGGAGAACATGGATTCCGCATCCAGCCAAGAGGGCCGGTTCCTCAGCAGTTCAAATTCTACATGATCCTGGAGGGTCTGGGAGAGAACGACCCGGACGTCCCAACTGTCACAAAGTTCACTATGAATAATGTCACTCTGTGCAGTGCCGATATTAAGGTATGGATTCTGAATCGAATGCCTAAAATATCGTCCTAGTTTAGCCTTAGGCTTGATATTACACCTATTACCATGTAGCCTTCATGGTTTGTTCCTCCACGTAAAAGACTTTGATTCAAAATGCTTGATTAGATCAGCAGGTACAAGACAACCATTGCTGAACATAGGCCTCCCCTAGTGATTTCCATATTGACCAGTCATGACAGCGGCCTGCATTTAGAGTTTCTCTACATTTGTTAGTTTCAGCCAAAAGACGTCCACTGCTGGACAAAGGCCTCCTTCAAAGGCCTCCCCCAAGGATTTCCATAACGACCGGACCTGCGCTACTCGCATCCGGGTACTTTCCATGACCTTCCCCAGATTGTCAGTTCTCTACATTAAGTAGCAGGAAGGCTCCGTGAAAGAAGGAACTTGCGAGCCTGTTAGTATGTAAAACCATAGGTCTGATTGAGCCATTCAGTTGACTAAAATAGTCAGGACCACGATTGTAAAGATTCCAGAAAAACTTTGTCCATTTTTTAAAATTGATCACTGGATTTTACTAGACCAGGGAATTTCCATCGTCTTTTGTTGCAGAAAAACCAAACAGTAGAATCACTGGATGTCACAAAGAAAGACGAGAAGCACCACAAACATATCTGCGGGAGACGGTCTCTGGACCACACCGAGCTGGTCTCCGTGAGGACCGAGGCTAAGGCCGGGGACTGGCCGTGGCATGTCGCCATCTTCATAAAAGACCTCGCTTCTAACACAATGTCTTACTACTGCGGAGGGAATATAATATCGAAGACTGCTATAGTTACAGGTAAAGATTTGTTTTCCTTATTTTTTATAAGATTAACATCTAAACCATCCTCTAGCTAGAGCAGGGGTTCTCAAAGTGTACGGCGCCCTGGGGTGCCGTATTAGAAAGTAAAGAGGGGTGCCGTGGTGAGTTAATCCTTTATGTCGCGTTGGAGCTTGAAAACCGTTTGATAGACGCCCTGCCCTACCCCTCCTACGTCTTTGCCCGCCCGTCTTTCGACTGTATCTGTTTCAAAGCGTAGCCTCCGTGACAAAATACTAAATTTTAAGTTCACCGCGGGATGAAAGAGATTGGGAACCCCTGCTCTAGAGAAGTAGGTAATAATTTAGGATATTAATCAAAGAACTGGCCCTCAGGTAAAATACTCGCTGACCCTTTGATTTAGACCTGCGATCATTGACTTATGTTGAGTGCATACAGAATTAGACAATTTGGTAGACCATCAAAGTCACATAATAATATGATTATGCACTCGACAACACATCAGACTATACATTTGTGTTGGAAAATAGCTTCTATTGCAACTACAGTAGAATCCATTTAGTACGACGTAGCTTTTAACGAGCGACCGCTTTTAGCGACGCATATTTTTTTTTGATTTCTTGAGAAATACATAACGTAAAAAATGACTTCTTTAGTACAACGTCCGGATATTATAGTACGACGCAATATCATTGGTCCTTTGAGCGTCGTTATAATAGGATTCTATTGTACATAAAATGCCCGCATATAACACTATAATGTAGCTCGATGAAAATTGTGGAAACTTATATATATTTTGTTGCAGCTGGTCACTGTGTCATCAAGGATGGTCAGAGGGTGACAGCAGATAGGATTGTGGTTGTGGCGGGAACAAATAATCATAAGGAAGTGGGGCAGATTGGCAGACAAAGTCTTCCTGTGAGTACATAGCCGTATTTTATTATTATTTTACAAGCTTTTTATTGACTTCACTTGTTAGTATGTGTGGGACAAATCTTGCAACTGAATTTAAGACCAGTTCTCCTCAACCGATTGAGCTGAAATTTGGTATACTTATGTAAGTACGATGACAATGCAATATTATGGTACCATTGAGCTGGTCTGATGATGGAGTCGGGAGGTGGCCATAGGAACTCCTAAACAAAACGGCGGAAACTCATCGAGTTTGGGTTCGTTGGATTTGTCTTTTCGAGCACTTTAGTGTTAGATAATGTCCAGGGTCCTGAGATTAAGATATAACTAAAAAGTGTAAAATAAAATTATAATAAAAATAAACTTTTTTAAAAATAAGCTTTTATTCTGAATCTCGAAAGCTTGTAGCGCAAACAGAGAAAAAGAGGAATAAATTCCATGCGCGATACAAACTTTATAAATTCAGAATAAAAACTTGTTTTAAAAAAAAAATATTATAATTTGTTAGTGTTTTAACCATCATTATGGCAGCATATATTTTCTTAGGCTGAGTTGCACCATTCTACTTTAACTTTAACAATCGTCAAATATCGGTAAAACTCCATACAAAAAGCACTGGTTATCGTTTTAAGTATTTACGGTTTAAGTTAGGTGGTGTAACTCAGCCTTAGTTCGTATTTTTGTAGAGTTTAACGACAGGTCTGGAAGTGAAAATCAGTCTAGTTTAGTAACAACACTAACAACGTATTTTTTGTTTGTCGTGGAAATCCTTAGGGGAGACATTTGTCCAGCAGTGGACGTCATTTGGCTGAAACGAACGAACTTTCAAAATAATTTAAGTTTTACTGAGTAGGTATGTAAAGATTGGCAAATACGTCTTCTTTAAGTGAAAAACATTTCTATTTCAGGTAAAAGAAGTGGTCCTCCATCCAAACTACGACGGCCAAGCTACCTCCGACGTGGCCATTCTAAAAGTGGACAGGTTCAAATACACGGCGTACGTCCAGCCTATTTGTGTTTGGGGTCCTGTGTACGATAAGCAGAATCTGATCGGCCGACATGCCACGGTAAATAAATTAATAAGTAACTTTTAGCCTAGGCACAGACCACCGATTTTTAGTTGGCTGATAGTAATTTGTATGAAGAATCGGCCAAATCGAATCGGCGTAATGTGCGCACTTTCATACATGCCCATACTGATCAACTACCCGACTAAACTATCGACCGATGAAAGATGGTCTGCGCCTAGGCTTAATATTGTAGTTATCGTCACGTCAATAAGAGCCATCGTTTTAGCGCTCACCTATCACGTAAAGATGACATAAACTTCTTATTTTAAACAGACGTTGCCATTTTTTTGTACTCATTTAGCACCTATTTATAACCTACAAATATAATTTTGGTACTTTCTTAGTCCAGACGTTATTAAACGTTAATACTGATCCCGTTGGTGCTACTGTAGAAAGGTACTGTCACTTAGTAGTGGCTGAGATAGTTGCGCCTAGTTGTAGCTTAGACATTCTTTCGCGGCTCCGCCACAGACTGTGGCTCGCTCTGTTTGAGCAAGAGACGACTGGCTTCAGGGGAGTAGTACCTCCCCTGTTCTTCGCTAACGGTGCGTGTGAACACATGCCTGTGCCGCCGCCACGGATCCTCCTTTAGCGGCCACCAAACATCCCCGTGTCTAGTGGCCGAAAAGAACATCAGCTGCCTTGACCGTTTCAAGAGGATTGAATACATCCGACAGCACTTCTGGCAGAGATTTTCTCATGAGTACATTTCCTTGCTTCAGCAAAAAACTAAGTGGTCCACTTCTTCTGGCCAGCTCACTGAAGGGATGCTCGTGCTTGTTCGGGACAAGGCGCCACCACCGTTAAATTGGGTCTTGGGTCGCGTGGTGCGCACCTATCCTGGACCCGACGGCGTTACCAGAGTTGCCGAAATAAAAACGAGGAGAGGCTACATGACAAGAGGGTTTAACAACATTTGCCCTCTTCCCCTTGAAGAGGTCAAGGGGCAGGAGGATGTTCGCGCGTGGGCAATAGGCCTTGGAGCGGGCGACGTAGTAAAAGGTGCCGGGAGCGACGACGGCGGCGCGTGAAGGCGATCCCACACTTGGCCACCGAGCGGCGCTGACACTCATACTTACGCATAGCACATTCATTGTTTACCTATTGTTGTGGATTTGTTTTTACATTTAAATTACAATAACTCAAAGCTACTAAAAATTTCGTTTAGCTAGTTACTTAATGTTAACATCGCTATCTTCTACGAGTATAATGTTTGCCTTGTAAGGTTTTAGACCAGAACAACATTTTTTTTGTGTAAAAAATAATCAAATTATACAGGGTGTTAGGTAAATGGGTATATGAGCCGACACTAGCCCATGTTAACATGGTTATACAGGGTGTTTGGCGCATCGTGTGCCAAAATGATTTGGCGGATAGAATGGGTCATTTCCTATATTTTCAGCCCCCATAACACGTTCCATGTCAGGCGGCTACTTTTATATTAAGTTTTTTAGTAATTTCACCAAAATACCCAAATCGCATCATTTAATTTCGATTTAAAAAAAAACTACTAAGCGTAGCCTCAAAGTAAATATTTTGTTTTGACGTGCATTGACATAGGGTTGCATCACATCTAAATTTACTGGCAAATATCATCTAGTTTTTTTTTAATTCAGCTTTGAACTTTTCCGAAAAGTTAAAAATGGACTGAACATTTAAGTTTACATGGCTATAAATTTTTTTTTAAAAGAGATAGCGATCTTCGGATTTTATCAAAACTTCTCTAGTCTATCCCCATTCAAACGGTATACTAATCTTGTTTAAATAATAACAACAACTTCACAAATTCCCTAAATTAGTGCATTGACTCTATTCGGACTGATTTGCGAAATTTGTGTTTATAGCCCCTTTTTGTGTGAATAACACGTTAAATACCTACAGGTAAAAAATATTTTTTAATTTCAAGAAATCTACATTGAAAAACGATAGAGAAAAGGTTTTTTACATTGCATAAGATAAATATTTTTTACCTGTAGGTATTTAACGTGTTATTCACACAAAAAGGGGCTATAAACACAAATTTCGCAAATCAGTCCGAATAGAGTCAATGCACTAATTTAGGGAATTTGTGAAGTTGTTGTTATTATTTAAACAAGATTAGTATACCGTTTGAATGGGGATAGACTAGAGAAGTTTTGATAAAATCCGAAGATCGCTATCTCTTTTAAAAAAAAATTTATAGCCATGTAAACTTAAATGTTCAGTCCATTTTTAACTTTTCGGAAAAGTTCAAAGCTGAATTAAAAAAAAACTAGATGATATTTGCCAGTAAATTTAGATTTGATGCAACCCTATGTCAATGCACGTCAAAACAAAATATTTACTTTGAGGCTACACTTAGTAGTTTTTTTTTTAAATCGAAATTAAATGATGCGATTTGGGTATTTTGGTGAAATTACTAAAAAACTTAATATAAAAGTAGCCGCCTGACATGGAACGTGTTATGGGGGCTGAAAATATAGGAAATGACCCATTCTATCCGCCAAATCATTTTGGCACACGATGCGCCAAACACCCTGTATAAATGGTATGGTGAAGTCAGAAAATTGATATCTTCATTTTAATTATTTTATTTTTCATACAAATCGGATTTAATAAAATTTATTTTGTATGAAAATTTAAAAAAATTAAATGTTGACATCAAATTTCTGACTTCACCATACCATTTATATGCCCATGTTAACATGGGCTAGTGTCGGCTCATATACCCATTTACCTAACACCCTGTATATGGTCTCGTTTTATATCAAAATAATAAACAAGATTACTGATACTATTTTAAATCCAGTTTGACCACCTTTTACGACATAGGTACGCTTCAGTTTATAATAATATGCAATAGTAGAAATAAAACAATTTATTTTTTATAGCAGTTTATTTATTTTATTTACACTTCTCCAGTAATATTAAAAAGAGGAAAGATTTGATTGTTTGTTTGTATTGAATAGCCTCCGAAACTGGACCGATTTAAAAAAATAACTTTCACTATAATAGATCGTTTCATCCACGAAGACGCGGCCCACCATTCTTCCGCTAATGTTAGAGTGTAATCGGTACACGCTAAATTATCAATGAATGCACACGCACACTACAATAATGACGCTCGGATTGCTCGGATCAAACTCCCCGCACCCCGCGCTTCTCTCGACCAAAAATTGGTGGGGCGCGTCTTCGTGGATGAAACGAATCCTACATTTGACAACACTTTGACTTTGCCTCCCAGACATTAACATAATTTTTTTCAGGTGGTCGGCTTCGGTCATGACGTAGACAACAATCCCTCGGACGTGTTGAGGGCTGCCTACATCATGGTGCAGAACGACACCACCTGCGTGGATTACTCTCCAAGCATCTACAAGGACCTCCTTAACGAGTTCACCTTCTGCGCTGGATATGGACCTACTTCTGGTAAGGTTTAGTTGAGTTTACTTTTATAACCAATCGTTGTTCGGTCGTAGTTTCTGTACAAACATTAAATTCATGCATTTATGTGCATGAAAATATTTAAAAAACAGTATTGATCTGGGAGTTTTCTATGTACAATTAGAAACAGTGCAGTTTGAAATACCCTATTAGGATTTTTTCTCTATCCGAGGGAGTAAAGGAAATATCCGGGTATACACTATAGAGAAAGAGATGTATTGTAAAAGGAAGGCGCTGGATACAGGCCGCTACCGACGGGTCAATCTGGAAATCATTGGGGGAGACCTATGATCAGCAGTTGGACGTCCTGTGGCCCAAATGATGATGATGATGATAGAGATATCCAACATATAAATTCACAGTTGACCATAACGTTATGTTGGAATGGAATAAATTAGACTAATTGACTATGTATCTAAAATTGCATTAGGAGTTGGTGAAATTACCTTAGAATCTACTTCTACAACGTTCACAATTTCAAATAAAATCAATGTATCAATGAATTTGTTTATACCTACACAATTTTTGTTGTAATTATAGGTAATAACCCAAGAAACGGTGACAGTGGAGGTGGACTAGTCGTTCCAGTCATGCAGCTGGACCACAAAGTGAGCTGGTTCCTCCGGGGGGTCCTGTCCAAATGCGGCGTGGCCCCCGGCCATACGGAGTGTGACCCCCGCTACTACGTCGTCTATACTGACGTTGGCCCCCACTATGGCTGGATATACCACCACTCGGGCTTGGTTTTTGGAACCAATGTTCTTTCTGACCACGCTTAAAGTTATGAGATGTGTTTTAACTGTAACAAAAAGTAGGTACATTAATTAAGAAATGAATTAGAAAGCATTTATTACGGACTTGTACCATTGTGATATTATATTAGGCTAGTTCATCCAAATACGCCATAAATTTTCTTATGGTGCTCTATTATTAGGAAAATGTTATCTTTAATTTTAATAGTTTGTAACATACAATAACATTTTCAGTTTACCTATGTAAAAATTAAATATACAATAAATAAAAGGACAGAAATGTCACAAAACAAAAATACGTATTGTAGAGCGCATATTAATCCAAGTTCTGACATTGTAAAATGTAAACTATAGTTAATAAGTGAATCATAAAATATATGGAATACTGAAAGAAAGTTGAGTTTTAGTATAGAAATATGAAGTAGATGGGACCTTCGAGAAGTACATAAAGCAAGTTGTAGATAAAAATAAATTTGCTTGATATCATTTTAATTAGCTCTGTTATACATTTACTTGCATCTGAATTATCTTCTAAACATATCTTTGAAACATACGCCCGTATTCACAAACTTTACTATGAGGTCTCACAGTGCGCGTGGATGCACAGGACACACACGGACCAATCACAGAGCTCTATTCAACGCTGTGCGTGCGATTTGCTTCTTCACTTAAGCAAGCATCGTTTGTGAATACGGGCGATAGAGTATCTTAGAAAGAGCCTTACCATAAAATATCTTTTTTTTTTTTTAATATCTATCCCAGGGCATCCTCACAACAAGGCACCATGTAATTGAATTTCCGAGGCGCAACACGTCTTCAGTCTACTACCAAGATAAGGGTCACTTTAATAATAAATCGCCCTTATGAGACATCACTTAGCTGAGGAGCATTGAAATTAAGTGTTATAATGAAGAATAGTACGTTACAGGATTTTCAATACAGATAATCTTAATACTCCTGTGTGCTATGCTACACTACGCACATTCAAACGTACCTACGTCACACTATGCTAAAATTGTTTGCTGACAAAAAAAACATCTAAGTATTACAACCGTTTCTTTCAAGGCTTCAAAACTACATGATAGGTCCTTTATCATTGCATTAAAAAGCGTTTGTTACCAAACAATACAAATGTAACTGAAGTAACTTACTACAAAGTAAACAAAAATTCAAAATTCGAAAGCATTATAAGATTTTAGTTCAATTTGCCTACCTACAAGCAAAGCCGCGATATTAGCTAAGCGAATTTATATTGAACAACTCTATTTCTTCGGAGGAAATGAAAAACCGGCCAACATTATCCTGAAGACAACGTCACTCGAAGCGGTACTGCATAATTTATTAAAATCTTATTAAAAAGTGTCACCGAACAAAAAAGGACGGCGCGGTGTTATAGAAGTCTCTATTAGATCCTTTAACTTTTAGATTTTGTTGTATCAAGTTTTTTAATTAGGTGCCCCTTGGTTGGCTTGGACATCCTTTGTTATTATTAGTTTTATTTTAATGGCTCTATTGTCTTTTAGAAGCAAACAGTCACTTAAGTTTATTTCATTTATTATAGTTTACGAAGTTTCGGTGGTTCATTTGTTTTATCACAGGACTTGAATAAGTCGCATTATTTTCAGACTTTATGAACGTAGGTAAATACAGAAGCTAATCGATCAGAAAACTCTATTTATAGTCCAGTCAATGAATGCCTTAACGACGGTGTAGAGAGAAATCCGTGGAACACAATTTCTGACCTCGGGACTTTATTTAGACTAGTTAGGAGGAGAACATAGTAAAAGTCCCCGCCCTTAGCCCTTGAGCCGGTGGGGAGAGGGGGGTTTAAAGGTACCACTTTTCGGTTTTTCGCTTAATCCTCGGAAACTATGCATCCTAGTGACATGACTACTATGAACCAAAAAAAGCTTATTCAATTTGCTACAGGTGAGATATTCAAGTTTTTCTATATCTTGTATAGTTTTCGCGGCATCTGCTCTAGAAGGTCTGTAATATTGGAAATTTTATTTTTGTCCTACATGTTCCCATCAGGTGAAAATCGACTTAATCAACATTGAGCAAACATTCTAGGTATGCGGGAGCATGTTAAGCCTAGTTCCAGGGAGGGGACTGTACCGTGCGTATATTTAGACGAACCATTTGCAGCCACTTTTGACTCCTCATCACTCAAAAACTACTGTGCGTTAAAACTTCAAATTTGGCTCATGTGTTGAGACTTACGAGATAAACATCAACTTCATATTTCATAAATATTCCTCAAACGGTTATTTAGGTATTGACGTTCAAAAATCGACATTTAGGGCACTAAAATCTATCTATTACCTGTGAAATGTTAAAATTTACTGGTTTTTTGTTTCTTCCTTTGTATTTACACATCTACCTATCTGCATGCCAAATTTGAACCTTCAAAGTCATCTGGAAGTGGTTAGAATTTGGTCTATAGGTCAGACATGTAGATTTTTGGACGTCAATACCTAAAGAACCGTTTGAGGTATATTAATGAAATTTGAAGCTGATGTTTATCTCGTAAGTCTCAACACATGAGCCAAATTTGAAGTGTTAACGCACAGTAGTTTTTGGGTGATGAGGAGTCAAAAGTGGCTGCAAGTGGTTCGTCTAAATATACGCACGGTGCAGTCCCCTCCCTGGAACTAGGCTTAACATGCTCCCGCATGTCTAGAATGTTTGCTCAATGTTGATTAAGTCGATTTTCTCCTGATGGGAACATGTAGGACAAAAATAAAATTTCCAATNCTTTCCGAGGATTAAGCGAAAAACCGAAAAGTGGTACCTTTAAACCCCCCTCTCCCTGCCGGCTCAAGGGCTAAGGGCGGGGACTTTTGCTATGTTCACCTCCTAACTAGTCTAAATAAAGTCCCGAAGTCAGATATTGTGTTCCATGGATTTCCATCTATAATGCTTTATTGACTGGACTATTAAAGCAATGCTCTATTAGATGGCATTAATTTGCAAAATGAAATAACTTGGTACTAATTTAGAATTTTTGAAAACCAAAGTTCCTTTGTTCTCTGTTCGTGTCCCTGTTCCTCATTATAATTCCCTAGTTTTGCCTACGGCCTTACGCGCATAAAAGTATTTGCGTTTAATTTTTCATCAGGCGTTTCGATTTCAAAAAAATTGATACATCCCCCGGGAAATTGGTTTGATGGGGGAATAAAAAGTGACCCCATCTCCATGACAAAGCATATAATTTATGCAAAACAGGATTTCACTTTCATGGTTCGATCGCCCTTAATTAAGTTTTATTTTTCTGTTCTGTCGCGGTGTTAGTAGTAAATTAAGCAGGTGTTTTATTTTTTAAAACAAAACGTTATCAAGCCGGTTGACGATATTGTTTTGTTTTAAATGAGATAATTAGTTGTGTATATTAGTATTTAAACATTCAAAGCAGCTTGTCTAGTTATTCATTTTTGTTTTGATAGTTGGATAGCAAAATGTAGGCACCTAGGATCTAACAGTTTAGGTTTAGATCCTATTATGGCATCTCCCGCGTCACGCTTAGTCCCATTGCTGGACTAAGTTTATTTATCGTTTTTCCATGTTGTTTTATATTGCTTTAGGAGTGTATTTAGGAGTGTATTATTGGTCTACAGTGCAGTGTTTTAAGTGTGTGTAACCACTGCTTGCGATACCGAGGATTATCAAGGAAGAGATGACAGGCGCTTCGAAGACAGCTCCCGAGGAAGCCCAGCTCAGAGCCCTTCATCACACCGAGACCCCGTCAGTTTCACCACTCCTCTAGTAAGTCTTGTGTCCTTTACATTACAATTTTTCTATCCCTGTCACTATGGTTTTTACTCGACTGCGCCAGAAGGAGGGTCATGATTTTCTATCTACAATCTGTGAATTAAATAAAAACTTACTCCTAGGAATTTCGATTTCGACCATGATAATGCCGATTGCGGACCAAGAGCTAAGCTAAGTTAGTTAATCTTAACTATCAAAGCTGATGCAAGATTTTAACTTTCGCGTTCCATTTCAACTAAAATAGCAAATACTAAAAAAGATGATGCAGTTTTCCATACAAACGATGCATCTTTGTCAACGATGCGATCGCGATGTAGGGTTTATGTAAAACACATTAATGTCTACAAATGCCCTTTCTTTTACCGATGTATAATTTAATTTAAGATCTAATTTTTTATACGGCAACTGAAACGGAAAAGTAAACCGCGGTTCTGAAATAGTAGTGCATTATACAACAGGGACGGTACACACTCGCGGAATAGAGCAATTTCATACGGTACATTTAATTTTATTGTAGAAGCATGACATTAAATTTTGCACGAAGGAGTGTTACTATGAGTTTTCGATTGATTTTAGAAACATTGGTAGTTGTGAGAACTATAATAATATCTATATCTTATATAAGGTGTTATTTTTTATACTGATCAAACTTTACCAACACATCTAATAAAATCATACAAATACAACCCAAGTGTTTTTAAAAAAAAATTCAGGCTAGTTTTCGAGTAAAACGACAAAGAATGTTTCGAAAAAAATAAAAAATAAATCATCCTTTGAGCGCGATGAGTACTCGTTTACGCACTATCGTAGTAGCCGGCCGAGGGCGACGACCGCTGCCACGTGCCGCGCCGCGTGAGTCGGCCATATTGATATCGCTGCCAGTCGCTCCGCGCCCATAGCCCGCGCCGAGCCGCCGATCGGCATGCGGGAGCGCAACAACTTACAACATCGTCCCAGTCCGTCCAATGTCCCCTAACGTATTGCAGTGTATGTGCGAGTTATTACAATGCCGCGCTTGATAAATAACAAATCGCAGGTGAAATTATGTTTCGGGCACACTGACTGGCCGACGAGAAACATTGACGAGTCGAAAACCTTCACACCTTGCCGTATCCTGACTTGACGAGATCCCGTGCGCTTCGAGGACGAAGTTCTGGATTTCAATTTCAATCACCGGCACAGTGCTGGCGGTACCCAGATGCGAGCGCCGCAGACGGCGGGTTTTGCGTAAAAATACGGAATGCCTTATCAAGGAGTTGTTGCCAGAGGGCCACGACCGCGACCGTGTTCTATCGATGGATATTGCGGAGTCTACCTAGGTACATACCTACAGTGTGATTTGGACAGATGAGTGCTTGTTTACGCGNCCGCCATGATTTTCCATAATATTAATATTGATATCTCCTATGATAAGGACATTTTTATCATATTTTCTATCGTTAAGGAGACAGTCAAGTGATTCCAGAAATCTTTTTGTGTTTTTATTTGAAGGTGATCGATATACACATAATAGTATGCAATCAGATAATGTGATTTCAAGACAAGAAGCATCAGAAATGAACT